CGCAAGCCCATGTGAGGACTGCACTTTTCTGAATGGAGTTGGTGGAGGAGCAGATGGGGAGGGGGAAAGTGGGGAAGGGGAGGGGGCGGGAGGAGAGGAGGTAGGAGAAACTAGTTAGTATGTAAAATAAATGAAAAAATGTTATTGCAATAAAAAAAGTGCACTGGCAAAACTAAAAAATACTCCATGCTCTGTGTCCCTCTAAGAAATCATTCAAATCAGACTTATTCTTCAGTCATTGGCATTTCCATGTCTTAGTACCTCAGAAGTCACTCTGGGTGTCAACTCTAGACGGGAAAGGAAGACAAAGACGGTCAAGGGTTTTACCTGTTTTGGACTTGTTTTATGCAGGGAAGGGTGCTGGCGAAGACTGTGCTCCAGCTTAGGTCCCTAGAACTTTGACAGGGCCAGGCAAGATTTCCCAGCCAAATGCCTGCCTCGGGGAAGAGGTGGGGAAACTCTACCGTGGAAAGCTATTGGAGTGTGCGGGACGACAGCAATTCAAGAGCACAATCTATAAAGATGTGGATGCCTGCTAAGGTATCGGACAGGACTGAAGACAGCAGGTTAGTCCAAAAGATGAAGTCTGGGCCTCAGTTGTGGACAAGGGCCTGGGATTGACTAGCGCTGGGGTCAGCGAGTGAGGGGAGAGCTTGAAGCAACACGAGGAGAAAGGTAGTTTACTGTTCCAATGGCCAAGACCAACCAGGTAATAGAGGGCACCAGACATAAGCATCAGTGAAGGGGACAGCTCCCAACTTCTGGGTCTCTGAAGAGCAGAGTGAGCGTGGTTGTTCTGCCTGAAGACCACCCATCAGGCCTTGGGAGGTCAGTTACCACTATGGGTTCTCTGATACCATCTAAAGGTCCTACGTAGACGCACGTGTGTGTGTGTGTGTGTGTGTGTGTGTGTGTGTGTGTGTGTGTGTAAGGCTGAGGTCTGAGGTACATGGGAACTGTATGGCAGGTAAAGAGAAGTCGGGGTTGTGAGGGCTGGTAGAAGAAGAGAATAAAATAGTAGCTCCTTTGTGAGACAGAAATGTGAGACCCGCTTTGTTCTGCTGTTGTCCTTGGAGCAATGGTTCGCTCTGGAGGGTCATGAGCAGGCCAGAGGTAGGTGCTATTTCTCAATTTATTAATTTTTAAAATAATATTCTAATTTTCTTTTATACCTTAGTCCTACTTTGTAGGTATAGTTTTCTATTCTGGCATTTCCGTTTCCTCTCCTCCATACCTTCCAATTCTCTAGCTTTCTGGCCAAAGTCTCTATTTTGAACTAGCCTCATTTATCTTTCTCCTATCCACCTGCACACATTTTTATCTTTATTTTCAAATCCCCAATCACTCCACTAGCTAGACCCTGCGACTCTGGCTCTGTGGACCCGTTTCTTTTCTCCTCACTACTTTTCATCCCTACAACTGCCTTTTGCTTCCTACTTGTTTTTAATACAGGTGCTGTACATGGGTAACTGTAGCGGCTCCGAGTGACATCGAGTCAGGACTTACCCTGTCATCTTTGGAGCAGTGGGTTTACCTGCCTTCATGAAATCAAGAATCCAACTGAACAGAAGTTGGAGCCTTTGTGTGGAGCCCCTGGAGGTTTCAGCTGAAAACTTTAGTTGTCCACCCAACCCTTTCTCTCTACTAGGTCAACCGTAACCGCCGTGTCTTCAGGACTGTGCGACTGTAAAAAGTTCCCTTTGCTTCACAGAGGTTCTTTGCTTACTTTTTCAGCCCCCTAGAAAAATATTGCTAAATATTTTTCATCCAAATCCAATTGTAAAGACCACATCAGATAAGGAATGATCCATAAGATAATCATCATCTTTAAAAGGGGGATAATCTTGAAAAATAAGAATAAAAGAGTACTGGGAGCCTGGGGAAGGGACAGAAGGCAGGTAAGATAGATAGATAGATAGATAGATAGATAGATAGATAGATAGATAGAGAGAGAGGAGGGGGAGTAAGGGTGAGAGAGGTTGAGATGTGTGTGTGTGTGTGTGTGTGAGAGAGAGAGAGAGAGAGAGAGAGAGAGAAAGAGAGAGAGAGAGATTGAGAGATGAGAGAGATACCAGAACCAGATACACAGTCTTATTTGAACACAAAATTTTTTAAAAAAGTATATTTTGGGGGCCATTGGGAACTTTTAAATGAATTGTAAATCAGATAGTAAGAAAGAGTACTATTAGATGTAGTGATAGTGCATATATGAACGAGAGTGTCCTCAGGAGATCCACACTGAACTATTTAGGGGAAAAGTATCAGATTTGAAAAATGCTTCGGCCAAAATTAGGAAAAAATATAGACGAATAGATATGAGATCTATATCACATATTACATCCAGACAGACATCACCATATACATATATTTGCTTTTCCGTGGGCTTGAAAGTTTTCAGAGTATAAAGGGACTACAACATTCTTGGTCTTTCATCTTGAAGTATTAAAACCCACTTGAGCAGTACTACACATATCATGTAAACTCAGTTGGCCACTCACCAAGCATTACACACTCTTATAGTGGTATGGCTATGCTGCCAGACTGTTTTATTTCAGTTCTTAGTTCATAAAGTGAGGGGAGGGGGTAGAGGCACCCTCCCACTCATAAGCTCAGCACTGGTACGGGGCAGGCATCCAAGGAACGTTGGCTACCGTACATAACCATCTTTGCTCATGATGGACCTAATTTCACATGTTTGGTATCTTAGTGATTTTGACTTAATGTTAAATAAAACTACTTGTGTTCACTTCATGCACCCTTCTCCATTTGTTTATTGATGTTATGACTCAACATAGCTTTTCCAACAATGTTAGAACATTTTAAGTCAGACAACAAGTAACACAAAATCACAGAAAAGGGGGAATTAAAAAATGCTATATTTTTCAAATTAGGTTTATACATATTCATGTCTTAAGGTCTATAGTTCCTATGCATTTTTTCTACTGATAATTTTCCAAGGCTGGGTTACCAGAAATGACAAGAGAAAGATTTCTAAGTTTTTAAATAGTAAATCAAATTGATTATGATTTTGGAAAAAAAATTGGGAAAAACTTTAAACTTTTTCTTATTAATCTTGCCCCGTCACACAGCATGGACAGCCACCGCGACATTTTATCTATTAATGAGGGCACGTCTTCCTTCCATTGGCTCTACCCACTCATGCTCCCAAATGGTTTGGTTTGATAAATGAGTATTCCCTTTAAGCCCTTACCACACAACTCATCACTCAAGTTCCAAAGTGTTCCTTGTTATAAAAAGAATGGTTTGAACAAAAGAGAAAACAATTTGAGGTTTATTCACTTACCCTGCCAAGGAAATACTAGAAATTCACTAGGGTGGCGAATAACAGAAGAGAATGAGGATGTGATATTTTAAAAACTGAATTTATTTTCAAGTGCTTATTAAAGATATAGCAAAACACTTTAAGTTCCACACACACCTTTGATGACTAAACAATCATTAATTTAACATTAACATAAGTAGCTTATACATTGCACAATTATATTTTGCATTTTAATATAGTCTTATCCACTAATCATAACTTGCTACTAAAATAAAACATATTTTATATTATCACAGTAATACATTTTTATACATTCTGAATATGATTACTACTAATAAATAATATAATAAGTTACTAAGATTATTTTTTTGATTGTTTCTTTTGCTTTTTTTTTTTTTCAAGACAGGGTTTCTCTGTAGCATTAGAGCCTGTCCTGGAACTCTTGTAGACCAGGCTGGCCTCAGACTCACAGAGATCCACCTGCCTTTGACTCCCGAGTGCTGGGATTAAAGACATGTGTCACCACTGCCCAGCTGTTACTAAAAAAATTTAGCAAACAAACCTAGGGCAGATTTAGACACAGAAAAATAAATTAAAATATTATTCCTGTCACTAAGAAATTCACAATCCATAGGGGCAGGTAGACAGACAACTCAACAAAGTGTGATAGCTTTTGAGGAGAACATGATAAAGAAAGATATATATGAACTTTAGAAGAATAACTTAATCCAGAACAATACAGGTATGGGTGGGCTCGAGGTGAAAGATTCTGCCAAGTCAAGAGCTGATGGTGGAGGAAGGGGACAACCCTGTAGGTGTGTCTATCACATGACCTGTATAGTGGGGCAGACATAAGGGAGCAAGCATGGCCGGGCAGCTGCAAATGCTATTCAGTCTGACTGCACTGAAAGACACAGAGTGGAAAGCTATGAGAGCAAAGGCTGCAGGGCTAAGCCAGGGCGCGTCATTAAGGGCCTCCCTTTTTAGAGCCATTCTCTACCTGAACGTAGCAAATGGCCTAAGTGAGAGGTGACGCGCTAGTCTGAGGGCTCTTAGGAAGACTGGTCTATCAGCAGTGAGTGGAAGGAGTACAGGAGGGTGTCTTAGCCATGCCAACTTCAAAAAAGGTAAGAAGTAAGGGGGAGAGAAAACACGGAGAAGGGTTGGATTGCTCCCATATTTAGATAGCTAAAGCGGTAAGAGCTGATCCTTGGCTGGATGGTCGCAGGATGAGGAAAGCAGAAACGGGGTGAACTACCTCTAGCCCCGGCCACTCTCCAGGGCAGGGGCCAAAGGAGTAACTGATCTGCTGCTTTAATGAGCTCTGGCTCCAGTATTAGCGACTCAGCCGCGATGCCCACAGGTTGGCACAGGCGCGTCTGGAAGAACATGGGCAAGTGTGACGTGGAGTCAGGAATCCAGACACCAGAAGCACCAACAATGGCAGTGAGGATGGGAAGTAGCTGTTCAGAGTGGAGAAGAGGACAACAGTCTGACCTCCGTGAACAGGTGAACAGCAACATCTTTTAGGATGGCGGGTCTCCGAAGGAAACTCAGAGACTGGCTGGAGTGTGCGAAGAGAAAGGAGATGCTTGTCTCCAGCCCAAGAACGGCAAGAACTGAGTGCCAGACAAGTCAATGACAAAAACGTATCAAAGACATTAGGATGTAGTTTACTTGTATCTTAGCAGCAATTTCAATTCTTTTTTTGTGTGTGTGTGGGAAGAATAGTTATAGAAGGTGGAAAAAGAAATGAATGCTGGGACATCGGAGGCAAGGGATTGCCTTTGGGACACAGAATCAATAGGACTAAGGGAAGGAGTCAAAGCAAGGGCTAAGATCTCTAAAACAAAGACACTAACCAAAACCACAAGGATCACATCCTTGAAAAATAGGCAAAGGGAGCCCCGCAGGTAGGGTTCCGAGTGCAAAACTAAGACACCAACGTAAACCACAAGTGTCACACACTTGTCCAACAGTAAGAAAGCCCTATGGTAGGGCAGGGTTTCTAGTGCAATTTACGCTGTTTAGACAAGGGGACTGACCGAATCAGCTGTTACCATCACCCTCTCTCCTGCTTCCTTTGTTTCTGCTGGCTGTGTGCTCTCTGACTGAGGGCCTCTTCTCTGTGTGGTAGGAAACGGTGCCATCCCTTTTGTCCTCCAGCTTAAGAAAGAGGCAGTTTCAGGCATGTTCCACTCTGAGCCTCAACACGGAGGCTGACAGAGAGGGTGCCGTGAGTGGGGGATGATTCCCCCTCGTTGGGCCATTCTTTCCTAGCAGAGAGAGGAGAAAGGCAGAAAGCTCGTCACAGGACACGGCCCACAACCCCCGCATGCACACGCAGTAGGCGTGCCATAAGTGCTTAACTGATTCCCTTCTGGGGTCTCAAGATTTCAAAGTGCTTTTCCATCATCTCTTCCTAAGGAAATCAGCAGGCTATCTTCCTCCCCAACCACACCTTTGTTAAGGGGCACGAGCAGCAGACTGCGCTGCTTGGTCAAGAAAGTATGGCATGTGGCTATCAGAAAGAAGGGGGAGAAGACAATAGGAAGAGACAGGCCGGCTGTCTTCACACATCCAAATAGTGCATCCAGAGCAGGACTAAATCAGTCTACTCCTAGCAGGTAGAAACAGAACAGCAACAGAAAGGTAAAGCATAATGACTATAGAAAACTCCATGTGAGTGACGATTCTGTAGACACATTTTACTATGGCTTACAGATTCAAGTGGTATAACCTGTTAGAGGAAATGCTGTTACAAAATCTCCTTTTGTGAAAAAAAGAAACAGAGTTGAAAAAAGGCCCCTTCTTGCAAAGATACACTTTAACAAGATCAAACAGGGCGTGAAGAAGACACGGTCTCAAGTAAGGACAAGCATCTAGGAGTCCACTAGGTGGCGCGACCAGGATGTCGGATGTAGTTGACTAAGGTGAACCACTTTTGGTGGTTCCAATCATCCTTAAGAGTTCTGCAGCTTTTCAAACACAGTCTCAGTTTCTGAGACCAATTTTAGGTTCCTAGAAAGATAATGTAAAGCTTAATTTGAGTTTCAACTCAAGACCAGATCAAGTGTAAACAAACCTTAGGTTCAACACATTTTAAAATAGCTTTCATTATTTGACAATTCAGCCTGCTCCACTGAATTGAAAAGTGTTATCAGCATGGAATTTTATTACTAATCTACATACATTGCAACTACTCTCATTTGGTATAAGTCAGACAAGTCTGTATCTATACCGATTTATAATGAATCCTTTAGTACGTTTCTTCAGGGAGCCCCTGAATTCTTGAAGGATTAAATAGAAAATAACAGTAAATTCTATCACTTAAAGAAATACAACAGTCTAGCACAAATACATGAAACAGCACATCTCAAAAATCATCCTATCATGCTATTTTTTTTTAATAAAAATAACATTTCAAGATTTCTCACTGCATAAAACCTGAAAAACCTTTAGCTAAAGTGCAAAATACAAACAAAGCTTCACGGTCAACTTACTTTTCTTTTAAATGCTAGATTTTTTAAAAAAACTGAGAAAAACATTATCAGATTTTAAAAGGTCTCTCTTGCAGTCCGAGTCACTTCAGTTATGTGAGATCAAAGCCACGAGGTCTACTGAGATTATTCAACTTATCTTTCCAGTTCTGCAGTCAGAATTTCTCCCCATGTCTCCGCATCCATCGGGCACATGCACCTTTTCGGCAGGTGAACAGGAGAACGGATGTTGCTGTATCTTCCACTGAGCCACGCGTGCTTCACTTTACTCTTCTCGTAATTTCTTAGGAGTGTCGCCTGAAAGGGGAGATACCATCGCTCAAAACTCTGGCAGAGTGCCTAGCTCATGAATGTGTCTGAAAGCAAAGAAACTCATTCGCAGACCTGAGATTAGGGACGAGGAAATACACGTATAACCACACTAATAAATTCACGTGTGCTTGTACGGATTAGTGCACATGCAGAGGGCAGGCCACTGTATGTACTGTGTTCGTAAGGTGGAATAAAATAAATGGACTTCTTCATTTCCCTCCAACAAGGGAAGTTCTTGACTTCAAGATCTGAGAGAGATACAAGGCTGTGGAAGACAGTGTGGGGACTAAGTCAGGTAGAGAGAGAGAGAGAAATGATTCAACTCTACTCCTCTGTAGTCGTATTACTCCAGGCAGAATTCTAGAGTTCTCCTAACTGTGCTACAACCGCCCTCTCAAAACCACAACACACGGCGAAGTGAAACTTACCTGCCAGGTGTAACCGCATTCGATGTCACCATCAATTTCTCTCGGGCACACAGCTCTTGCGGTCAAGCAGTGAGGCTTCCACAAGGCATCACTGTTCCTTATCATGCGATTCCAAGCCCAGCATGTCTCGGAAGCTCTGCACAAACTCTGAACGTCTAACTGGCTGAAGATTTTATAAGTGACTTCTGGAGGCAGCCGATCAAAGCTACTTTGACTCGCTGTTCTTCCCTGTTCAGTCTCTGTGGCATTCATGCTGGACTTGGCACTTTCAAATTACTGTTCTCGGGGGACGTTGCCTACATAGTTTGATATTTTAGTCAACTGTCTTCATTGGTCACCTACAGGGCAAAGTTGAAATGCGTTCAGCCTTTTTCAGATCAAACCACACATCCTGAGTCAGGAAGGAAGTTTTGAGATTTAAAGAGCTTCCTATTTCTTGACTTCAGCCTCTCAGTCTGCCACTGTCTGTGTTTCTCCCGTATTCCGTGAAGTCGGGAAGGTGGCGTGAGGACGGAAAGGTGAAGTGGCGGCACACTTGAATTGTACGTGGGAGACAATAAACACGCTCCCCTCTTTTTGAACGTTTTTAGGAAATATGGTTGCTTCGACATATTCTGCTTCTTACAACTCCCGGAAAGCCTTATCTTTAAAAACAGGAAATGATTCTCCGCATTATGTATTTCCTGAGTTTCATAATAATGACTACTTTAAGGATGCCTTCAAATATTTTTCGAAAGTATGTGTGTGCGAACTGATGCTTTACCATTGACCTCGTCACCTGACTCAATCACAAACCGGCTGGACTTTCAGTCATTTCGATAGCAACCGTTTTATTACTTGGATGTGGTGAGCAGGTGCTTGCTCTTGACATAAACTTACCTAAAATGGACAAGAATGAAAAACTGGTCACAGTTGCACAAGTTCGTATATCCAATTAAACTTTACGGGTAGTGTTTTAGAGATGAATCTATCGTATATGAACGATTTTGAGCTAAGGATGACTGTCCCTGAATCTATCAGCGAGTGATACCTACAATCCAAATAGCTCATAATTCAGCTAGGAACAGCATATGATTTTAAGGTCTGATTTCAGCTCATTAATGCTCTCCAAGATCACAGTGCAGGCTTTTGGAAGCACGGCTGGGTACATCACCTTGAGCAGGGGCTGTACTAAACGGGGAACTTCCGCTAGATGGTTTCACAAGACAGAAAGCAGCTTGGTGGACAAAACAAGACAAAACCCACAAGATCAAATGTTTGCCATGAATCTTCTCCCGTCTCAACACTGACACACTAAAGACAAAGCAGCAATTGTGAAAAGAAACTCCTCTTAGGAGGTTACAATACATTCAGATTTTTGCTGCTTCTCCCAGCTTTTCATTAGAAACAAAATGATGGCTTCTGTCAAAAGAATTCCCTCTTGCAAGAGGGAGAAGTTTTACAGGTGAATATTCTGTGGTTCCCAAAAATCTCAGTAGGAATCTTCTAAACTACTTCTATTGAATGCTTGGAAAACTCTTCCTCTTCTTTTTGAACCAACCTCGGCGAACAATTCAGTTAGCCCTTCCACCCACCTTTCCGAGATTTATTTTTATGTGTATGGGTGTTTTGTGTGTATGTGAGTCTGAGCACAACACGCTTGCAGTGCCAGCGGAAGCCAGACGTGGGCGTCGGAACCCCGAACTGGAGTAACAGACAGTGGCGAGACCCCTCTGTGGGTGCTGGGAAGTAAAGCTGGGCTATGGGAAAGAGCGAGCAGGGCTCGCAACCAGCAACCTCCGGGCCATATCCAGCCTCTCCACCCATCAGTCCTGTCAAATATCACTAGGAGTAGGGGACCGCCCGGCAAGACTAGCTCTCGGAGAGCCCAACCTCGTCGGGCCGAGCGCGGCCGCATCCCTGGGGGCTGCGAGGACGGGTGCTGACTGAAGAATCGAACCGACCGCCATGGAGCACGCAGGCTCCCGTCAGGGAAGGACAGGGAAGCCTCGCCTACCTAAAAAGCCGCGGATCCGGCTCCTCCCGCGATTTCAGCCCTTGGAATTTGAATCCTTTCCGGAAGGCCTTCTCGTCCCGCCCTCTAGCTCTCCGCTCCTCCCATTCGGGGTGCGCGGTGCCTTCTGGGTTTGGTAGTTTTACTTGGGTTTCATTCCCCCCTGAAAGAAGAAAAGAAAGGCGACTGTTGACTACAAGGTCCAGAGTCCCCTCTGAGTGACAGCCACTGCGTGGGCGGGACTCTAGAAGGGCGGGACTCCCAGTGCCAGTGTGTTTTGGTAGCCTGATGTGGCTGCCAGGCGGCCGAGGGTCCGCTCGCCTAGGCTCCCGCTCTCCAGGTGGCGCTCCCTTATCCACCTTGGCGCCCCTTCCCAGACGTGCTGACGTGGTTAAGTTCACGTAGTGTTTATTTTTTTTTCTTGGACAGGTGGCTATTTGAATGTTTAGATGATAAGATCTTGTTACTCCGTTACTTAGTTTCTTCATAGTAAACATTTGAGGGAGCTGCCTGGGGAAGCTTGACTCTAAATGCAGTGCGTCTCGCAAAAACTATAGTGAAATATCGAGGACTACTGAGACTGCTATTTGCTGTGGAATCGTAAACCTTTCTGCTTCTGAGGTTATTAAGTTACCTGAACATTTTGTTTTTGTCTCCAGAGCCTTTGTTTGCTAGCATCCAGCGTTTACCCCTTTGCCAATCCTCCATCTAGTTCTGCATTTCTCTATAACTTCGTCTACTTATTTCAACCTTACTACTTTTAGTTTGAACAATCTCTAAGTCTCTGATTAGAAAGATTCTGAAGCCAAGAGCTTGTTCACCCTAACTTTGTCAGAGAGCAGCACAGGGGACACCCCAGGGCATGCAATGGTCTCATAGGGAAACTCTCAATATATCTTGTTATGGATTCTGGAAATCTTGGCTCAACCGAGAAGACACATTGAAGAGTTGATTACCTAGTGTAAGTTACTGTCCACATTCCCACTTAATGTCTGAGATAAGCCGGAGATTCGTTGAGAGGAACTTAGCTCGAGGTGTGAGCCCAGGGAAGTGAGCTACTCTCAGAACATAAATCAGATCCAAACCACATCCCAGAGGAAATGTGTGTGCTGGGGATTTTTTTTTTTGTGTCAGTTTGACACCTTGGAAGAAGGAATCTCAAATCTCAGATGAAGAATCGCCTCACTCAGATTGGCCCGTGGGCAAATCTGTGGCAGCATTTTCTTGATAGGATCCAAGTGGACAGGCCGAGTCCGTTCTGGGCCATGTCATCCGTGTGCTCCTGGGTTGTGGGAGAAAGCAAACTGAGCAAGGCATGAAAAGCAAGCTAGTAAGCAGGGCTCCTCCAGGGGTTCTGCTTCAAGATCTTGCTCTTTCTTTGCTGGCTGGAATTCCTTGTCATTTTAGAGTTCATGCTCCCTTAGAAAATTTCTGAATCTGTCCTTGCTACATCTAGGCTAAACATTGTCATTGTGTTGAAACAATGTCGCCTTTAACCAGAAGAGGGCACCATCGACCTATTGGAGGGTTTTGGTTTTTTTTTTTTTCCTTCCTCCTGAGATCCCGTGCTAAGTAGCAGTGTTAAATTTAGTAACAGTTTTCTGGACAGGACAGGGCCGCAGCAGCTATAAGCTTACAACAGCTGTGGTTGCCTGCGCAAGACCCACACTAGCTAGATCAAGTCAGCCAGCATTCTAGCATACAGGAAGCGGGTGGGGAGGTTAGTTCAAGAGCCTCCACTCCAAACTGAGGAGTTAAAGATAGCTGATGGCTGGCTTCTAGGGAATTCTCTTTATGACTGTGTCATCTGGTAGGTCCAGCAAGCACCCATGGGTAGCTCACGCCCAGAAGGAAATGGCAGCACCCATTGGAGTCGAAGGCTAGATGAGAGTAAAGAGGAAAAGATGAGTAGGAGAACTGGGGAGAGTGGGGGAGTAGATCTGAGAGGTGTCAGGAGGAGCAGTGGTGAGGTCATCAAAACTAAGACTTTTTAAAAAAAAAATTTACTAAAACTTAATATGGGGATTATTGCATTCATATACTGGGAGACTAAAGACGAAATGTTTGAAAATGCCGATTTTTATTAGTGTATTATTTGTTGCATTACAGTGTGCTCTAACATGAAGATGTCTGTGACAGGTTGAGCCTTCATTAAGCGCTACATTCAAAGAAACATCAGCCTTGGTTGGGCACCTTAGAAAGCACTGTATGTGTTGTTCATGAGTTATTATGACAAGCACACTGCCATTTTGCTGAGATAAAGATGTCAAAAAAAATCATGGGTCGTGCGTCTTTTAAATACGTATTCATTTTCATATATTTTCCCAGAGATTTTTATTTTGTTTTACTTTTTTTTTTAAACAGGATTTCTCTGTGTAACAATCTTGTCTGTCCTGGAACTCACTTTGCAGAAGAGGCTGGCCTCAAACTGAGAGATCTGCCTGCCTCTGCCTCTCAAGTGCTGGGATTAAAGGCGCGTGTCACCACCGCCTGACCCTTATTTTATTTTTATTTTTTTAAAGATTTATTTATTTATTATGTATACAACATTCCATGTATGCCCGCATGCCAGAGGAGGGCGCCAGATCTCATTATAGATGGTTGTGAGCCACCATGTGGTTGCTGGGAATTGAACTCAGGACCTCTGGAAGAGCAGCCAGTATGCTCTTAACCACTGAGCCATCTCTCCAGCCCTTAATTTTATTTTTTATTAAAATATAGTCACATCATTTCCCCTTTCCTCTTCCTAAATCCAGTCCCTCCCATGCACCCATTCCCCTACTTGCTCTTGAAATTATGACCTTTTTGTATTACTGTTATACACATACACCCACACTCACATCTAAATGTATAAACAGATTCTGCTCAGTGTTACTTGTTCAGGGCTGATTACTTGGTACTGGATAAGTAACTAGGGGCTCTTCTTTGGAGAACACTCATTCTTTCTCTGTATTCCTTGGTTGCCTATAGTTTTTTGCCTAGGGGTAAGAAAGCCCGTAAGATTTTCCACTATTGTGTTAGCTGTCTATTGGTGCTGCCTGTTTTGGGGTCTTATTTAACTGTCACATTGTTGAGGTATTATGGATGAAGCATCCCTGTCATTTTTAGGAGACACTGTCTTATGGCAGATTTCCTGGTCCTCCAAGCCAACGTTTTCTGGTGACAAGTGGAATTTTAAAAGTTACCTTGTTGTGTACCTGCCCCAAGGTAGGCTCGCCTTAATCTTAAGCTTCTTCCTTTCTCCCCCAAGTCCCTTCTCGTCATCCTTTTTCTTCTCAGTCTTCCCCCATCCCTTTCCCTTCTGCTCCCTTCCTTCTTCTTGTTGCTCCACAGAAAGAGCAAACTTACCTCCAAGGGGACAGGTGTGGGTGTCAGCAAGCATGGAGAGACAAGGAAATCTGGGGGACCTGAGAAGAGCTGCTCACCCAGGATTTTACTGAGCCTCTCACCATCAGAGCAGCAAGAATTCAGCCCAGCATTCCCTACAAAGGCTGCCCAGAGAGCACAGACTTTATCCCTTTTGTGTATCCATATGTTTTATCTTAAGCTCACAACGCGCCGGGCTTGAGGTCTGAATGCATATAACCTTGGGTCGGGCACCTTCTTTTCTCCAGACATTTTCTGAGGATCTCAAACAAAACTGTTAACATCGTCTGTGATAGTAAAGATGTTCTACCTTCCTGTACCCTGGTGAACTTCTCAGCGGAAGCCATGCCAGGTAGCCCCAGGGAAGCACCAGGTAATCTCATGGAGTTTCTTATCGCATCTTGAAGACAGTACCTTCATCCTCCCCCAGCATCCTATATGTGACTGCTGTAACAGACATTGAGCTGAGACTTCCCTCCGAAGCCCATACCCGCATGTGGGTATGTCTTACTCTGCCACTCTCAGAGAGGATCATGTCATTCTGAGTGTTTTCCTCTCTTCTGAGCACCCCTCTTTATAGTAACGCTCACACTTAAGCCGATACGAAGACATCTTTATTCATTCTAACTCTGCATTTTAGACTGTCTAACCCTGAATTCTTTTCTGCATTGAAGCCATGAACCTCAGTTTGACCTGAGTCCAGGTCCCCACCAATCCAGAGAAATGCTCAGGGGGCCAATGGGAAGCTGGGCCTTCTGCCTCTGTCACACAGTTCTCTTTTAGAATCAGCAAATAGAGAATGAAATAGACCTGCTAGGTCAATATGGATCGCAAATGGCATTTCAATAGTGCCAGACCATGGGTCTGAATTGAAGATCTGGGGGTGTATTCTTCTCAGGATAAGATAATGGGGTTAGGAAGGAATTGTGTGTGTGTGTGTGTGTGTGTGTGTGTGTGTGTGTTTGTGTGTGACAATAATTTAGATTTCCCAAAGAGGAAGAGGATTTGAGATGTGAGCCTGGGTATTTTCTCCATGGAAACTATAAAGTCTTGAGGATACATAAACCTCTGAGATGTGAAGGGAGAAGCTGACAAGGCATTGAACGGGAGACAAGGTTCCTCATAGGGACCAAGAAGGCAGGGAGGAGCTACTGGAGAAGACAGCACAGGGGCTGCAGGGACTACAGGGGCGTACGATGTAAGGGTACACAGCCAGGGGCAGTGGAGCGGTGGCGGGGTGACAAGGATGAGAAGGAGGAAGCCGAGCACAGATAATCTCTCAGAGGCCGACAGCGCCCTCCTGAACCTCACACTGAGCTGATCGGTTCTATAACTGGAAAGTTCTGAGGTTTGCAGCTGAAAGTCCTGACTCCGAGACTTGTCACTACCGCCAACAGAGACCTTTTTTTCCCCAGAAATCACCTCAGGATGGCTGGTGCTGTGACATCTGAGAAAGAACATTGCACCGAGCAGCTATAATAGAGGGATCACGGTTGAGAAATGAGGCAGATGCCAACACTGCCATGCTCACATTCACCCTTCAGGGCAGGTGACATATCCGGACCGAGAGGAGGGCTTTTAGCTTCAGAGTTGCTGCTGGTCTGAGATCACAGAGCTAGTGAGTGCCAGAAGGGGCCTCTGGGCAAGCCTGGGTGACCCTAAAATCCAAGCGTCTTCCATTATGTGCAGTTGGCATCCAGCATCACCTGGCTCCTGGCCAGCACAACTTCCCGGTGAGACAGTTCCCTCTGCTTGGTCTAGTACCTTTTTTAACGACAT